CTCTGAGAATGTATAAGGCGAGTACAAACATTTTCTATAGTTTGTTTCAGCCCTTAGCACCTGGTTGATGAGGGAACAAGGTTTGTTCAATGTTTGCATTACTTTCTCTTGTCTCTGTGATATGCTACGGTTGTTTACTGTTGTATGCTACATTGGTCACTAGATGGCGTGAAAACGGCCCTAAATCAAGGGTCGTTTTAAACAGTTTAATTACACTGTATTATGATTAAGCAAGTAAGGATAAGGGAACAGCAACTTCACATTGTAGAATTCTCCAAAGCTCAGGTAATATAAGGCGCGTACTAACATGTTACCAAATTAAAGTACAGAGGAATGTTCTTTATATGACGATAACAAATGTTGAGGGCCCAATGTTAATATCTGCCATACTCGCACAAACAGTAAGGGTTTTAGTAATATCAATTGGAGTACTAGGGAACCAAAATAATATTCTGAACTCACCTACATAAAGTCTATTTACATGATCGCAGTTTCTAATATTTAAAATTCATACTCTATCTTTAATGTGGTGTGTGTTAAACAGAGTATTTCTCATGCACAATATTCTCTATGACTCTGTGCACGAGAAAAGGTACGAATGGACTAATCAAAGTATGTGGTACTTTATTTTCCACTAGTGAACCATTCCATTCCAAAGCTAAATGTCTGATTTGACATTGCCTATAATTGGGGCTGAATAAGAAGGATCATAGAGTAACGTTTCAAAACAAAACTAGGTACTATGAACAACTTTTAACTTGACTTCACGTCTCGTTAGCTGTAAGTGTTTACCTAAAGCATTTTAAATTAAAAAATACATTAAACAGAAACAACACTTCAAGTAAGGCAAAAATGTATTAGCGCTAACAAAATGGTGACAAAGAACAGAAATGCAGTCAGTTTCTTTCAGGGAAACCTGGCTATGTGCGTTGCCAGTGCACTGCTCCTTCCTCTGTGAAATGGGCTTTGAAAACCTCCCTCACTCTCAACGCCGCTCTGGCAGCGTAGTTGGCTCCGATACGACCTAGATCAGGAAGTGGGTCGGGTGCTGCAGGTCCTGCCTGCGGAGGAGCTGCCATTTCCGCTGACGGCCGCATGAAGTTGTGAAGGACACAGGTTGCCTTAACACACTTCTCCACAACTTCGGGACGGATTTCCAGCTCCCGATGGAACATCCTCCACTGGGACGTCCAAATCCCAAAAGCGTCTTCCACTACCAGTCGAGCCCTGGAGAGGCGGTAGTTAAAGGTGTTGCTTTCAGGGGGAAGACCGCCACGGCCGGGATAGGGACGCATCATGTGCCGCTGCAGTGGAGCGCCAGTCGTCTGTGGTGGGAACCGCCATGAACTCCTCCACCAGAGAGTCCCAGATGGCCGTAACTACCTCGGGGACGACTTTGGAGACAGTGGACACACAGACCCTGAAGCTGCTCCCGATGGTAGTATACGAATCCCCAGTGGCAAGGAACCTGATAAAATAAAAAGAAGACATTAATTGAATGTGCACATGGAGTGAGAGACAAATGTCCCATAACAATAAAAAGGTGGTTTGTGACTGGTCTGTGAAAGGCGCTATATACATGAAGAATAGACACAGACACACACACACACAGACACACAGAGAGAGACAAGGAAACAGACAGAAATAAACACACACAGACAGACTCGCTTCCACCCTCACCATGTGTGGAATGATTGGAACAATATTTGAACTCTGAACATTGTAAAGCGCTTTGGGTGACCTTGGTCTGTAGAATGCGCTATATAAATAGACATTACTTACTTATAAAGCAGTGTTTCCGGCAGGAATTTTTTTGAGGGGGGGGGGTCCGATACCCCAGAAAAAAAATTCACACGTTTATTGCAGTAATTTTTGTTAATATTTTTCACAAGGAGTTAGTGGACATGTGTGCCTTTAATATGAGCGGCCTTTGTGGGAATGGTTATATTCAAAGTATTAGAGTAAAATGAGTTTGTAAAACACCTGCGGCGCAGCGACACGAAACAGGAGCCGTAGTTCTGAGCGGAGCCAGAGCAGAGCCAGAGGTCTCCAGAGATCAGAGAAGTATTTGGTACTGGCTCACTCAGATTCAGAGGAGGAAGACACGCAGGTGTCCAGTGAAGCAGACACAGACATTATTAGTGACAGGAGTCTGCGTCATAATAGTCCACAGTCAGCCACAGTTTACGTCCTCCGTGTGGCCCCGTGGTAAAGAGGCCCGGCTTTTCGGAGTCAGCGGTAAAGCGGTCAGCACATTAAAAGCGGATAGCCGCTTTATGCTGTTACTCACGGTAACATTGGAAAGAGAAGCCGTGGGGATGAGCCGCCACAATGCACGTTTTAACATAAAGCGGCCACCCGCTTTTAATGTGCGAACCTCCTTACCGCTGACTCCGAAAAGCCGGACCTCTTTACCGCGGTGTGTGGCCGCAGTGGAAACATTCTGCGAACGCCAGGCAGGGGACGTGGTGAAGGGGACAGGGGGGTCATAACACCGGGCATGTGGGTGAATGCAGAGGGGATAAACAACCGCGGGGAACGCGGCAGACTTGGCAGAAGCCGCGGAAGAAAACACACCGCTAATCTGCCTTTACGGACGGCGATGATGATGATGAAGGCAGAGAGGAAGGAAATCCATAAAAGTGGATCAGAAATGTTGAAGATCCTGTTGTTTATTGTTGAGACAATCTGAAGTTCTGAGCCCATTAATTTAATCGCTCTGTTTCTAAACGATGAATTCTGGAGCCTCATTTCCACTGAGACAAACTGTATGCCACAAGGTCTTTTGAAAGGGTAATATTGAAACCAAAGTGCAGATTTCACGACTGGTAAACTATAAGCAGTGCCATCTTGATCATTGAAGATCTAATACATAATACAATTCCATATGGCTGCTGACCAGTGCTAAAATATTCAAAACAATGCTCAAAAGATGTAAAGCTTAATGTGCAAGGAAAGCTGACCGAAGACAGCCTGACCATTGCCACAGCTTTTAATTCTTATTTTATTGAGTCAGTCATTGAGATTGGACAAAGTCTCTCACGTAAGGCTTTTGATACCAGTACATTAGTTGACTTAGGGAAAGGCTATGATCTCCAACAAGTTTCCGAAGGGCAAGTACAGAAAGTTATAGGTTCTCTAAAAAATTCTAAATGCAAGGATAGATATAATCTTGATGCTGTATTTATCAAAAAATATTCTGACGTTTTGGTTCCACCTATTACTCATCTTGTCAATCTCTCAATCACCCACAGTGTTTTTCCTACAAATTGGAAGCAAGCTATAGTTACTCCAATTCATAAAGCTGGAGATCAAAATGACGTTGTCAACTATAGGCCTATAAGTATTTTACCAATAATCTCTAAAATCACTGAGAAAATTGTATTTGAGCAAATGACAACCCATCTAAATTCAATTAGTAATGGCTTACACCATCTACAGTTTGGCTTCAGGAAAGCCTACTCCACCGAAACTGCCACTCTACATCTAACTGAGCAAATTAAAGCTATGCTTGATAAAGGAGGAGTTGTTGGTGCAGTCTTCTTAGATTTAAACAAAGCTTTTGATTTAGTTGACCATAATATTCTTGTTTCTAAACTTTCTAATTTTGAATTCTCTGGTAAAACACTGGCATGGGTGACTTCATATTTGGCCGACAGGATGCAGTGTGTTAAGGTGAAGGACGCCTGCTCGAGCTATTTGGAATGCACAATGGGTGTGCCTCAGGGGTCTGTGTTAGGCCCCTTGCTTTTCAGCCTCTATATTAACGACCTTGCACAATGCTGTCATGGTGTGCAATTACAACTGTACGCTGACGATACAATTTTGTATTCTCATGCTAAAAGCAGTCACCTGGCAGCTGAACAACTGTCCAAAGCTATGGTTTCTGTGTCTGAATGGCTGGAGCAGTCTCGTCTGAGTTTGAACGTGGGCAAAACAAAAGCCATGTTCTTCTCAAAAACTAATGTCAAAACCCCAACTTCAGACATTTTCTTTAAGGGTGAGAAAATCGACACCGTGTCTGATTTTAAATATCTTGGTGTTACACTGGATTCTAACTTGAATTTTAAAATACATATTAAGAACATGATAAAGAAAATTAGGTATAATGTAATCAACTTCAGACATATTAGATCTTGTCTCTCTTTGGAGGCAGCCAGGATATTCATGCACGCTCTTATTTTTTCCCACTTGTCTTACTGCATCACCTGTTGGGGACAGGCTGGAGAAACCGCAATTAGACCGTTAGAGTCTGTGTACAAGCAAGCCCTAAAGATTTTTGATAAAAAGCCATTTAACCATCATCATTGTAGCATCTTGACAAAATACAATTTCTTGAGTTTTGAAAATTTTAGAACTTTCTCATATCTATGTTTGGTCTTTAAGATCCTGAAGGGCTTGGCTCCTGGCTGTTTACAAACCTTTGTGCGACAGCGCTCTGGGAGTTCTTTAAGATCTACTCGAGCAGCTTCTCTACATGATTGCATTGTACCCTTCCGTCATTCCACCTTTGGTCAATCAGCGTTTGCAGTGAAGGCTGCTAAACTGTGGAACCAACTACCTGACAATATAAAGACATGCACGACCATCAAGGGCTTTAAAAACTGAACTCAAAAAGCATCTAAAAAGTAGCCAGCATTGTACACACTAGCCATGCCAGCCCTCTTTGGTTTTTACACTCCCTCTGGTACTGACTTATTTGTCTGTATTTGTATTTGTATTTGTGTTGTTGATGTGTCTTGTCTGGGTTTTATGAATCTGTAATGTTGTATGTGGTTTGTCTTTCCTGGTCGACCCCTTGTCTTGTGAATCTTGTCTTTTTTCTGTTATGGGTCGTCCGTTCCCTGCCAGGGACTGCAGATGTAAATTAGCCTCAGGCTAACTCTGGTGCAATGCATCAAATGGCAACATTTATGTTATAATTGTACATGGTCCCTTTTAAATAAATAAACTAAACTAAAAAAAAAAAAAAAAAAAAAAAAAAAATTAAGGCAGTTGAAATGGAGCAGCTGCAGCCCCCCTGTGTCCAGCAGCACACAGAACCTGACCGTACACCACTGGCACCTACGCCTAAAAAAGTTCCTGTCTCCTTCATTGACTCTCGTCTGGATTCCGACACCAGCAGTGAGGAAGAAGCCAAGGATGGAAATGTTGAGGAGCTCACTGGGAAAGTCAGGCAGGAAGTCCTCACGTACTATGGTGAGAAGCCCATTCCCAAGGGGGAAAATCCGTTAGATTGGTGGAAATTGAATGAGGTGAAATATCCCTTTTTGTCGAGATTAGCAAAGTCTTACCTCTGTATACCAAGCACTTCCACACCAGCGAGCGGCTGTTTTCTGCAGCAGGAAACATAGCCTCTAAAAAGAGAGCAAGCCTAAGCCCTGAACATTTGGACATGTTGACCTTTTTGCACTGCAATGCAAAGTTCTTTCTCAAATGAGTAGTGTTCGGCCTTATTTCCCACAGGTAGTTGGAATCCTGTCAAATCAGGCATATGCTGTTTTGTTTTTCATTGTTTTATAAAAGTTTTGAATTTTGCACTGACTACATATTTAAATCTTGTGAAAATCACAATGGGCAAAGACTTTTATTTGTGCAGATTAAGCAGAACAATGTTGTTTGCAAATGTTTAGTTGTAAAAGCTGATAACATTGCTGTTTTGCTGTTTTAAAGCCAGTTACCAGTTCATAATTCAGTCTTGCAACCTAAATATGACCGAATGAAATAGGTAAATTAATGTTTAAATGCACTTTTGTAAGTACTTGCTGCTCTTTTTCAGACAAAATGTGAGTTCCAATCAGGTTTCATGCCATTGGCACTTTATTTGTAGGATTGTTTACAATTTCACAGCATAAACTAAGCTGTGTAAAGCTATTTCCCAGGTATAAGCTGTGTGTTTAGTTTACAGTAAAAAATAATAAAATTCATTTTACTGCAATTTTATTCTGTTTTATTCTTATTCTTCATGATAATACGTTCTGAAAGATTCCTTAAAGATCAACTAAACACCAGTGCCCAGCCTTAGGCTGAGTTTACACGGAGACAATGTGGCAGTAAAACTGTATAGTTGGATGTCGGTTGCTACCAACCGTTCATACGAAGACTGTGTTCCAGGGGGATGAAAACGTAAGTGTTCAGATCCAGCCTGCAGAGTGGGACAACTCAGAAACGCTGCACAGCGGGGGCTCTCTTCGAGAGGGGAAAGGTGTGAAATCCCCCTCTGCTCTGACCCCCGCCTCCGCGCTGCTCCCACACGTAAATTTGGACATGCGCAGTAGCGGAGAACAAACAAAAATGGCGCCGCGCACACTAACTAGCTTCGTGGGCTTCCAGCGCGGCACAGAGGATAATTCTACACCTTCGTTCGTCCAAACGAGACCACGCGAAGTTCTAGGTTCAGTTTCCATTTTCACAGCTGCTGTTAAAATGCAGAATGATGTTGGTACTTTCTGAGGGTCTGGCACAGGAAGTGAGTACACTGCCGAGGGGGGGGGGGGGGGGGGGGGGGGGGGGGGTGGGCACGGGGCTGGGGGTCGTGTGAGTGTTGTAAAGTTTTTCTGCCCACTACTGGCCGGGCGCTAGAACTACATCGTTTTTCAACCTCATGTGAACGCTGAGAAATTTGCATTAGGAGCCAGGTCGTTTCTGTTAATAGCCTGGAAACGTCTGCGCAGCGTCTCAGTATTGTCGCGGGTTCTCAAAAGAAATGCGAACAAAATGATATGGTCTGGTCAGGTTATATTTCTTTAGTGCAGATGTCTTTGCTGCAGCAAGTGAGGGCAAACCCAGTAGTGACCAAAAGAATATGTACAGTGACTAACCACCAGGGCATCAGGGAGAACAACTCTGGAGCGTTGTGCCAGCAGTGCACAGCATCCTTATCATCCAGCTTCCACACATATTGTGGCTCTGACAGCCCTGCCTTATACCCTGAAGCTCCTCCCCCCAAACCAATTAATACAAATAATAACAATTTCTCTTCAAATAGAAACATTTTGATTATCAACATAATTCCTAAATTCATAATATATTATCACAAATGAAAATAAAAACCAACACAGAAAGAATACATGATAAATCATAAAATACAATAATTTCTCACCAAAATCCGTGTGCCACGTGACCCGACGCGTGACGTCACATTTGTGCGCCCTACTCTCGGCGCATAAAAACAAGGAAGACCGCGGGGTTCGGTTTGGCCAACTTTGCTGTGCTGTGCGTGTGAAAAATACTGAGATACTTTTGGACCGGTTGGAAGTACTATGGACTAGAGTGATTGAACGCCAGCCAAGTGTGCACCCTAGACTGACGCTATGAGAGAGACATGCAGGAGGAAACAGGTAAGTCTGTATGAGCGTGTATGAACGTATGTGTGTGCATGCGTGCGTGCGTGTGTGCGTGTGTGCTTGTGTGTGCGTGTGTTCACGCCGTGGCCTCCTCTCACCCACGAGCTGACGGGGTTACTCAGTCACACTATTCTTCCCCTTCCCAAGGTTGCCAAGGTTGGGCAACCGAGACAGATAGTCCGCAAAAACATTGGCCGTGCCCTTCCGATGACGCACAGTGAATTTAAAAGGCTGTAGGGAAAGGTACCATCGCGACAGCCTGGCGTTGTGGTCTTTCATGGTGTTGATCCAGGTGAGAGCCCGGTGATCCGTCTCAAGGATAAACTCTCGCCCTAGGAGATAGTATCGGAGACTCTCAAGGGCCCACTTGATGGCGAGACCCTCCTTTTCCACCACGGAGTACCTCGCCTCTCTTGGCAGCAACTTCCTGCTCAGGTACAGAATGGGCCTTTCTTCACCTGGATCTCCTTGGACTAGTACAGCACCCAGTCCCACGGCAGAGGCGTCCGCTTGAACCACAAAGTTCTGGGTAAAATCTGGACTTCGAAGGACAGGTGAGGAGCACAGAAAGTCTTTGAGTGTCTTAAAAGCCACCTCACATTGCTCAGTCCAGTTCACCGGATTCTTTTGGTCCTTCGTGGTGAGTGTGGTAAGGGGAAAAGCAATCGTGGAAAACTGGGGAACAAAACGTCTGTACCATCCAGCAAGGCCTAAGAAAGACCGCACCTCTTTCTTGGTTCTGGGCCTTGGACAGTTCCTTATCGCCTCCACTTTGTCGACCTGGGGTCGGACTTCGCCACGGCCGAGTTGATAGCCCAGATAGCGCACCTCTTCTCGGGCCCACTCACACTTTGACATTTAGGGTGAGCCCTGCACTCTGGATCTTCCCCAAGACCTGCCTGAGATGTTCGTCCCATGTCTGGCTGTAGATCACCACGTCATCAAGATATGCGGCACTACACTCACTACAGCCCTCCAGGACCTTGTCCATCAGCCGTTGGAATGTTGCAGGTGCTCCATGTAGACCAAACGGCATTACGGTGAACTGGAACAGGCCTGCTGGCGTGCGAAAGGCAGTGTAGGGCCGACAGCTGGGATCCAGAGGCACCTGCCAGTAACCCTTGCACAGATCAAGGGTGGTGATGTAGCGGGCAGAGCCGATCCGTTCCAACAGCTCATCAATGCGAGGCATCGGATATGCGTCGAATTCAGAGACTGCATTGAGCTTCCGGAAATCAATGCATATCCGGAGTGTACCATCCTTCTTGTACACTATGACGACCGGGCTACACCATTCAGAGCTGGATGGTTCGATCACCCCCAACTGCATCATAGCCTCTATCTCCTTCTTCAGCTGCTCGACCAACTTTTGGGGAACACGATAGGGCCTCTGACGGAACGGTGTCTGGTCCTTCAGTCGGATGGTGTGTTCAATCACTACAGTCTGACCAGGTTTAGCGGAAAACAGGGTTGGCATCTCCTCAAAAACTTGCCTGAGCTGGGTGATCATGTTGGTGGTAAGGTGGGACAAGTTCGGGGTACTCACCACTTCAGTGACAATGGAAACATCAGGATCGTCCTCTTCCTCCATCTCAACTGCTTGTACGAGAAGGGAGGCAGTTGCCTCAGGAGCGACTGGCTCTTTCCACTCCTTTAACAGATTCACGTGATACGTCTGGTGGGACTTTTTCTTGTCTGGGTGATGGATTTGGTAGGTGACAGGTCCCATACGCCTGGTGATAAGGTAAGGGCCCTGCCACTTGGCCAGCAGCTTGCTGTTGGAGGAAGGTAGAAGAAGCAGCACTTTTTGCCCGGATTCAAAAGTCCTGTCTCTGGCCCGCTTGTCATACCACCGCTTCTGCTTCCTCTGAGCTTCTCGCAAGTTCTCTACTGCCTCCTCCCGATACTGATCCAGTTTGTCCCTCATCTGGAGCACAAATTGCACAACACTTCGATCACTCTGCTTGGTGTCGGGTGCAGTCCATTGCGATTCCAGCAGATCCAGCGGTCCCTGTACATCCCACCCATACAAAAGTTCAAACGGTGAGAAGCCGGTGGACTCCTGTGGGGCCTCTCTGTAGGCGAACAACAGAAAAGGAAGCCATCTGTCCCAATCCTTTCCCGAGTCGTCCACAAACTTCCGGAGCATCTTTTTGAGCGTCTGGTTGAACCGCTCCACTAGTCCATCAGTCTGTGGATGATAAGGGGTGGTTCGGATGGCGGAAATGCCAAGTTGTTTATGGAACAGGTTAAGCAGCCGAGATGTAAAGTTTGTGCCTTGATCGGTGATGATTTCATCTGGGATGCCGACTCGCGAGAACAGCTGAACCAGGGCTCGTAACACACTAGGCGCTGTAATAGTCCGAAGGGGAAAAGCCTCCGGGAAACGAGTGGCGTAGTCGCACACGACGAGGACGTATTGATGACCTCGCCCACTCCGTGGCAGTGGACCGATTATGTCCATGGCAATTCTGCGAAATGGGACAGAGACAATGGGGAGAGGTTGCAGTAGTGCCCTGTCGGATTTGCGAGGAGACCCGGTGAGCTGACATGTTGGACATGTGGTGCAGTATGCCTGGACGTCAGTATACATGCCTGGCCAAAAGAATCGTGTGCTGACCCGCAAGAATGTTTTGTGACGGCCTAAATGTCCAGCCCAGGGAAGCGTGTGTGCGAGGTGTAACACTAACTGTCTACAGCTAGCAGGGATAACCAGACGTTTGCGACCCTCATTACATGCATACAGAATTTCCTCCTCCACTACAAACTGTTCCTTGCTGGACACAGGGTTTTGACTAGCAACCACCTTATCAAACAAATGTTTTAAAGAGGTATCCTGTCTCTGTAAACAAGCAATGTCCCCTGGTACATCCCACAACCCATCAGCAATTAGCCCCTTGGTATCTGTCACAGCTAAACCTTTCTCAAAACGGCGCTGCCGCTTGGATTTACCTGGGCCCTTAGTCCCTCCTTCGCACAGACTAACATCCAAATCAGGCAGAGGTTGGAGGTCAGTAACCTGGTCTTGGGAACGCGTTACAACCGGACATGCAATATTACCAACTGAAATCGAAGTCCCCCCAAAGTCACTCCCTGTCCCTTGCAATAAGTCCATCAGCAGAGGGAAATCATTCCCGAGGATCAAGTCTTTTGGCAGGTTGTCAACTACGGCTACAGTCAGTAGATATACTTGTCCATCCAGTTCTATAGAGACCTCGGATCTCGGGTAGAGGTGACAGTCTCCATGGACACAAACAACATCCGTTTTAGCGCTATAGTCTATACTGCCCATAGGAACTAAACTTCTCTTAATCAGGGAAGTGAAACTCCCACTGTCCAGTAGTGCCATAGCTGGCTGTCCGTTAACAGTAACCAGTTTTTCAGTTTTTGTCAGCTTGGTTCCTACTAACTCAGTCTCAGGTCGAGGAGCATAGCAAGCCCCAGTTAGCTTACCCCTACGCATGGGACATACTGAAGCTTTATGTCCCGCCTGCTGGCAATAGAAACAAATCAGGGTCTTACCGGGTGCTGACTGGAAATTGGTACCTCTCACATCTTGGGTTGGTCTCGGGGGTGGTGCAGAAGGTGGTCCTGGTGGTGGTGCTGGACGGTGACTCGAACTGGGAAAGCGTGTGAATCCTCGATGCGCGTTCTGGTACTGAAGAGCTAACTTCGCTGCTGTAAGGCCGTCCTCCAAGTTGTGCTCCTTCACCCACATACGGACGTCCGGCGGAAGCACACACAGCAGTTGCTCCAAGACGATGAGCTCACCGATCGCGTCCTTGGACAGGATGTCGGGGCGAATCCAGCGACGGTAGAGTCCTCGCAGCCGATGGTAGGTCTCCGTGGGAGTCTCTCCAGCAGGAACTCCGGTGGCTCTAAAGCGCTGCCGATACGTCTCCGGGGAAATATCGAATTTGGTGAGGAGCGCCGCCTTCAGGTGAGTATAATTATGCGCTTCCCCCTCATCCATTGCCGTGTATGCATCCAAGGCCTTCCCAGAGAGGAGTGGGACCAGCCGGCAAGCCCACTCGGTCTCTGGCCATCTCCAGGTCTTGGCAATACGTTCAAACCTGAGCAGATAGTTTTCAATGTCCTCACTGGGTTGGAACGGTGGAATTTTTGGATCACTGAAGTGTCTCCACTCGGATCCAGCATCCCTTTCCGCATTCCAGGAAACACCCAGCGGCCTCGCTGTCTCACGCTCGTCTGGAGGTACCACGACTCTAGTGCCACCAGGGGTCGGAAGTCCAAGATGTGCGCTTCCAGTAGCCGCTTCAGTGTAGCTGCTTGGGCATTCCTCCGAAAACCGAAAATGTGTTGGAGTCTGAGGGGCCTGGGCAGCAGGGAGTGCATTCCGTAACTCTCTGAGCTCCGCCACCAGTCCTTCCTCTCTCCTCTCTTGTCCATTTAAAAAATCCTTTAATAAAGCCACCAGCTCACCAACTGGCTGAAATGACGGGGATGATGGTTCAGAGTCTCCATGTTCTCCCTCGTTCTGCCTTTCCAAAAAGTCCTCTTCAAGTTTGCGGGGCCACAGTCCTTTTCTGCGACCAGCCATATCCCACTTCTGACACCAAAATGTCGCGGGTTCTCAAAAGAAATGCGAACAAAATGATATGGTCTGGTCAGGTTATATTTCTTTAGTGCAGATGTTTATTTTTGCTGCAGCAAGTGAGGGCAAACCCAGTAGTGACCAAAAGAATATGTACAGTGACTAACCACCAGGGCATCAGGGAGAACAACTCTGGAGCTTTGTGCCAGCAGTGCACAGCATCCTCATCATCCAGCTTCCACACATATTGTGGCTCTGACAGCCCTGCCTTATACCCTGAAGCTCCTCCCCCCAAACCAATTAATACAAATAATAACAATTTCTCTTCAAATAGAAACATTTTGATTATCAACATAATTCCTAAATTCATAATATATTATCACAAATGAAAATAAAAACCAACACAGAAAGAATACATGATAAATCATAAAATACAATAATTTCTCACCAAAATCCGTGTGCCACGTGACCCGACGCGTGACGTCACATTTGTGCGCCCTACTCTCGGCGCATAAAAACAAGGAAGACCGCGGGGTTCGGTTTGGCCAACTTTGCTGTGCTGTGCGTGTGAAAAATACTGAGATACTTTTGGACCGGTTGGAAGTACTATGGACTATAGAGTGATTGAACGCCAGCCAAGTGTGCACCCTAGACTGACGCTATGAGAGAGACATGCAGGAGGAAACAGGTAAGTCTGTATGAGCGTGTATGAACGTATGTGTGTGCATGCGTGTGTGCGTGTGTTCACGCCGTGGCCTCCTCTCACCCGCGAGCTGACGGGTTTACTCCGTCACAGTATAAACAGGGCCTTACACTCTTGCTTTTGTATTCCAAAGCACAGGGCAGCACACGTCATCTCTCCCCTCCTGACATCATCTCTCTGCAGTACTGACTGTTTGCAAAAGATGGCGCCACACTCACTGTTTTAGGCATAAAGTTGATCTTTCAACTAATTTGCACAAAGATGTAACAAAAAAAAAAAAATTATCCAGTTTATCAACTTAAATAAGCCTTGTTCGGGATTTTAAACTACTTCAGAAGCCCTAAGGATTTTCATGGTGAAAACATTATTGGAAATCTTGTGAAATTTGCTAGAGTATGTAACGGTCAGTGTTTTGTTTTGATGGTCGACATTGAGTTCAACAAAGGATTACAAAGACATAACAAACAGCTCCAGATATGTTTTTGATGTGGATATGAATATGTAAAATGGTTAAAATCTCTAAAAAGTCTATGTTGAATGATGAAGGCCCTTTGTTAACAATTTACTTGGAAAAAAATTGGCAAAACTAAAATATAAGAACATAAACCGATTAATCGATTAATCGTTTAAATAATCGGCTGATTAATCGATTATCAAAATAATCGTTAGTTGCAGCCCAAATGCACAGCTACATTTGAGGCTAAACACAACAGAGACCGAGGACACGGGGTGACACGGGGTGACACGGGGTGACACTGGGTGACACGGGGTGACACCGGGTGACACCGGGTGACACCGGGTGACACCGGGTGACACTTGTGAGCGCATGAAGAGAAGTGGATGAAGATATGTATTTGTTCCAGTCCAATAAATACATTTCCATCCACGTCCTTTACAAACTCAGGTCAATGAATGTTGTCTGCAGCTGACAGGAAACACGTTCACGGTTTGAGGACCAGTGTTGGGCACGTTACTTTGAAAAAGTAATTAGTTATAGTTACTAGTTACTTCTCCCAAAAAGTAACTGAGTTACTAACTGAGTTAATCCATTATAAAAGTAACTAGTTACCAGTAAAAGTAACTATTGCGTTACTTTTTCGTTTTGTTCTGGAACATAATGTGCACTCGACGTGCACATGTTGACCTTTAACCTCAGTGAGTCTGAAATAGTGCCAATATTTCCATGTAGAAAAGTGTGTTTTTCTTCATCTGTCTCTGTGCTGTAAGCACTTAACACCAACACGCTCCACTGTGAATGTGGAAACACCAAGCACTGACTTCAGCCCAATCAGATTAACATATATATCATAGAAATCAACTGGACAATTTGTTTGGCTACAGCAAAATATGTTATTCCCACCACTGTTGAGGACACGAAAACACGAAACAGACCCGAGTCAAGCTAACGACTAGCATTAGCATTAGCATTAGCATTAGCATTAGCATTAGCATTAGCATCAGGCTCCGACTGGGGGCGGGTTTGACTCAAATCTCGGCATTTCGTCCCGAGCAGAGGGAAATATTCACAGATAAATGAGTGATTATTGTCGGTAATCACCGTCAGGTCACGGTTAGGGCTAATAACAGTTCATTAGTTTAAGGTTAGGTGTAATAAGTTATGGGTTAGATGAGCTCGTTTACTGCAGGAGGAAATGCCAAGATGTGAGAGAGACACAGACAAACTTAAAGCTGGATTCCCGAGGCCCACAGTCTGTTAGTGGTGAATAAAAGAGGTTTAAAGCTTTGTTCTTACATCTGTGCTGTGTGGAGAGGTACAGTCTATGGTGGAGAGTGATGTGCTGAGCCGAGTCTTCAAAGCCTGTACCGAGTAATCAAGGGGAATTCTTTAATAAGTGTGGGTCGAGCGAGACGTGAGAGAAGGGTCTGTCTGCAGCCTGCAAGACAGAGGCGTGTCGTGACGTCACTGCAAGACACGCCCACTACACCAATGAAGTTAAACCAAGTGGAATTCTGCAAGAATATCCGTCGAAAACTCGGAGAAGACATGGCAGACCGTACGCAAACAGTCAGTGACAACTAACAACGTGTTTTATTTATTTTTAGGCCGTCACAGAAGTTACAGTGTATTCATGAATAAATGCACATCATCCTGATTAGAAATGTTTTATAAGAAGTGAACTAATACATTGCAGAGAAAGCAATTCATATTTTATTTATTTATTTATTTGTTTATTTGACAGGGACATTGCATAATAAATGTATTGTTCAGACCGGATATAGCTACAAGCTAATTTTCATCCGTAGTCCCTGAGGCAGAGGCAACGTGACAACGTGACAGCAGGTTTACAGTGTGCAAAGAATTGATAAATAGAAAGAATGAATGGCCTAATTAAAATACAGATAAAATACAACACCTCTAAATCACACAGACACAATTCAATACATACAAAATATACAAAATATACATCACACAATAATTATTTATTATTTCTGACTAATGACGACAGACTTGATTCTCTTTGAGCCAGTTTTTTAGGCTGAGTTTAAACTGTCCTAGTGAGCTACTCTCCCGCACAGACAGAGGTAGTGAGTTCCAGGCCCTCACAGAGACAGAGGTAGTGAGTTCCAGGCCCGCACAGACAGAGGTAGTGATATGAGTTTCTTCTGAGAGTCCATGTGCCATCAACATGTCGTTAGGCACATAGAATAATTGCCCAAGTCATTTTGCATCGTTAAAATGGCAACAAGAGGAAAAACATAACTTTTTACATGTTTTCCAAGAACAGTGGAAAATTAGTTAGTCAATTATGCAACGTAGCTCACGATGTTTCCGATCACAGTTACAGAAGTCACTGACCATAGTTATTGGATGATGTTACAAGACATTTGTGTTTCTGAGTGTGCACAAATCTATGTTTATGTCTGCTTTCAGTTAAATCAAGCTCCAGTGCTGAAGCAGGGAACACGCTCACGTGTGTAACTTACCCTAACCCATTGCAAGAGGCAATTGGAAAACTCAAAAAGGGGCCAAAGTATGAACCATGGTAAGATTTTAAATATTAATGGAAATATTTCAGTGTGCACTGCAACATCTAATCTGTGATGGTTCTTTTTGGACAGTGAATTTAAAATGATTGTGGATGCCCTGGTGAGACATTTACCAGAGGAGGCAGCAGTGAAACTCAAAGCATTTGAAGAAAGATTGAGATTAGCGCCCTCCTCTGAAGCCTTTCTCTCAATCCATCCATCCATCCATCTTCTTCCCCTTAATCCATTTCTGGGTCGGGGGGGTGGCAGTCAGAGCTGCACCCAATTCACTTAGCACCAGCCCCCACTGATCCTCTGCAGGTGGTGAGTCCACAGGAGGACGGCTGCTCTGTCAGTGACAATACAGCCTTGATTTTTCAGCGGGGACTTCAGGCAATGCAGGGTTAAGTGTCTTGCCGTTCTCTCAAGATTAAAATAAAAAAAATATCTTTGTTTTGTGTAGATGATGTAATGTTCTGTAACATTATTTTGAAAAGACTCTTATTTTGAAGGCCATAAGTACCCACCGGAAACGGTATGTGCAAAAAACGTTAGCAGATATACTATACGCAATGTCAAGAGGTACCATGGATGTATTATATTAACTGGATAGGGTATTACTAGCTTGTAGCTGAATAACTCACGTGCTCAGGGGATTCTCTCGGTACTGCAGACTGAACCAGACTGAACCAGACTAAATTCACGTGGGCTACCCAGAAATTTCCCCATAGAACTCAATGCATATTAAAACAGCTCGACCTCAGCTGACAGATAACATGACAGAGAACCTGACAGAGAACCTACAGCTTTAATAAAGATCGGATTTTGGGGGATTTTAGTGTCCCTTGTCATCCTGAACTTTTTTTCTTCTTAAATCCTTCGGTTTTGTTTAAATCCACACTTTAGTGCCACAAACTCTGCTCGTCTGGCTCTCGCTCTAACTCCCGCTCTGATGAACTGCTCTGATTGGTCAGAGCGCGGCCGAGCCCCTCTGTGCACGTGCGTGAGACCCGGTGTGAGACCCACACACGCGTGTTTGGCGCAACGCATTATGGGAGATCATCCACTGCACAGAACCGGGAGGACCAGACGATGCCCAAATACAGGCGA